GGATCTGGAGGCAAAGCAAGTTTTATTTATTGAACTCTTTTAGATAACATATATGGTGTATAAACCAGAAATCTCAAGTAGTATGGATCTTCTGGCTCTCCTAGAATGTTCCTTCTTTGTTAACTGGGGCAATGCTCGTACCTATATTTATCTGTAAGAGACTGGAATACATTAAAGTATTGATTTATCTGTAAAGAAAAACATAGGAAAAACCAGGAATTGCAGAATGCTGCGTTCCGGAGTCCCATTTATTTAGATATTCTTGCCAAAAGTTGAAGGCAAAATCCTCCAGCGACTATTCAGTGTGCAGCTGTGGGTTTTCATCCCAGACGATGATCAATAGGTGTATAATAAAATTCATAGCCTAACGCTGCTCTCAGACGCCCACTGGAGGTGGCCTGTTTCAAAGAGGCCCGTCTTTAAGAGAGAAGCGTTCAACAGTTGATCTTGGGCTGCTGCTTTTCTTCTCAACTGCAACAGTTGTTGTGATTTCATGTTTGTGGCTCTCTGAAAGAAAACGTGTTCAACTGCCGTATGAGTATTTTCAAGAAAAATGTAACATAGGCCGCGATGTTCCTCCCTTCTTACTGTACCACTTCATGACTGTGTTAATGTTCTTGTCCGAAAATGAGAAAGCTGGTCCCACTTAAAACAAAAGCCGTACACTAATAGTTCAATATAAAGATTACGATCAGTAATACTTTCCTACTTTGACGGTTGCCTGATCAAATCTGTGAGGCAGGCATATAACTCGAAGGACCCATTTCGAATACACAGCAACCTTCAAACACTGTTATCCATCTAGAAGTAATCATGCAATACAGGTCCTAAAAAAGCCTGTCTTTTTGTTCTTTTTGGAATTTCTTTTGCAGTTTTTTTGTATTTTAAGCACACTCCGTAATCCTGATTCGTATGTTTTAGGGAATCTAAATGTCTTTCTTTGTTCAACAACCCATAATACTATTCAAGTAAACAACATTGGTATCCGGTAATTTCTGTGGTACTGAGAGACTTGGCACACATTGCTTCTTTTCGTCTAGCCATGTACAAAAAACGGATGAAAATGTTTTTGCGCCATCGCCTCCAGAGCATTCAAAGTAACTCATTTTGGGGCAAAGTTGGGGGCCTTTTGAGATGATTGGACGTGGGTGGGAGGGGGGGCGGGGAGCACTGATTCACAAGGTGAGGTGAAAGAAGAGAGGAAATAATATTAATTATAATAATAAAAAAAACATCATATTTACATGACAGAAATTTCACCAAAAAGCATTAAAAAAAAAAAAGGTAAATATTCCCTCACAATTAACGCTGATTATTTCCCCCAATCACGGCTTTTCAACAAACTGTACCAGATTGGATTCCAGCCTTCAGAAATGTCAAAAAGGACTCATAAATGCTCTCGACAGTCATTGTGTCCGGACTGGCGCCCGCTAGTACACGCTGATGAAGGAGGCGAGCGCCAGCACCAGGCACCAGCAGGCCAGCGGGACGTTTGCACTTCCTGTGCTCCCATAGGGCGCAGTGTTGGGCGCTGTGGGCGAAAACAAGAGAAGCTCTGATTAGTTGTGATTGCACTTTCAACACCTGAAAACCTGCGGGCCTCGCATGGTGCTTCCAAATGGGACGGTTAAACCTGCAATTACTGCGCCACTTTAGCTGTTTAGAGTTGGTTTCTCCGTTTAAAGGTGTCATTTATACTTTTATAAGACTGCTGCTACTGTATAATGAAAGTCTGGATATGTACTGATGTAAAAGTTCATTTTTTTCATTATTCTTAAGGAGAAATGTTTTAATGGTGAAGTAAGATTTGTTTCTCGTTTAAATATGTATTAAAATATGTGTGGAAAAACTGGTTGCCACGCTTTTTCCTAATCTAAAATCAGCCACACGTACTCTTAGCCAATTGTGTAATAATAGTTTAACATTTTTGACCAGTTTGAAATGACACCTGGTGAGAGGTTCAGAGGCAAAATCACTCCCTGGTGCGACAGCTAACAGCTCTAAGATATCTTTTAAAAATATGTTTTTTGGGCCATTATTAAATAGATGCAGCGTTGAAAGGGAATTGTGACAAGGGGCTAAACTAGACACTATTTTAGGGTCTAGACCAGTTCAAAAGTAAAATCTTTAAGCACATACACACCAGTAGTCCAATAATACAGGTGTTTTATCTTATGAGGATGTGTCAAATCTAGGCTTGATAGACAGTTCCTCCACTATGCTGCACATGTACTGTAATGGCCGGCCAACTGACCCTGTAATTATTCCTATTGGTCCATAGATTTAACCTGACTCGAGGTCTAATGAGCCTGAATAATTGAAAACACCTGTGTGGGTTGCAGGTCCTTTAATCTAAAATTCATAATTTAACAGCAACACAAATGAAATGGAGCAGAAAGCACTATCCCTCTCTCTGTGGAAGCGTTAAAGTATTAGGCAGCACTGAATGAAAACACCCAACTAACTACCGATACTAATATATTCCAAAACACTTGTCTTCCATTTCATATTTTTCTAGTTGGGTGTCAAAACACTTCTCCTCTTTCACATTAGTGTAACTGAAAAAAAAGCCATCAGTGGAGAGAGGAGAATAAATGAGGCCAGCACAAGGTCTTTTTTTTCACATTCCTATCAAAGGCTTTGTGTTATGCTGCTTGTGTTTCTGTGACCAGCAGACAGCCACAGTAATATGACAAGGCCTCTCCGGAGAGCTGCGTCAGGAGGACCGGGAAGGAGAGGGCAGCCTTTCATTTGGAGGGGCTGCTCTGCCTCCTCAACAACAGACACACTCTTTTAGTCTGTAGCTCAATAAAGCACAGCTCACAGGTTACAAATCATGCTGTCCCTCCACACACACACACACACACACACACACACACACACACACACACACACACACACACACACACACACACACACACACACACACACACACACTTTGCAAACAGGCTCTGCTCTACCAGGGGAAATCATGTGGTGCACAGCCCATATCAGCAGGGTGCCTCTATTTACACAGCCATGTAATTAGTTCACAATGTAACTCCTCTGAAGTGGACCTCACGTTGCACAAACAAACCGAGCACAGCCAATAACAAAAATATCCAATGTACTCGTACTGTACACTCACAGAAGCTGTCATGGACATACAGTATAACGTCCATATCTTAGTGCATTTCTCAGGTAAGAAGCGGTTAAGGGTTGTTCTGCCACTGTGCTTCTTTTATTGTGGCTAAAGTATTAATTCAATAAGAACCAGAGCTGGATGTCATTAGAGTGGCATACGGCTGTTGGTGTGTCAAAAATAAATACAATGGTGCAGTGATTGATCCTTTTTTTACCAACATAAAAGCTTGTTGGAGTCAATTTCCACAGGGACACACACACACACACACACATCCCATTATCACCTGACACAGCACAGCTTTTACCTGATATTTTCAAGCATTACTCGCTGGCACTGAAGTTGTTTACCAATTAGAGCGAAACCTACAGCTCAGCTGACGGACAGACAGAGGGAGGAAAAGGGAAGAGTGGAGAATAGAGCGGCACAAATGTTTGCAAATGTTGATGATGTGTGTGTTGGATGCACTCCCTCTCCTTGTCTCTGCCTTTCTATCTTTGTCTCCCCTTTCTACCCCTCTCTTTCCCTCCCTTTGTTTCCCTCCTCTCTCTCTCTTCTCCTATCCAAAGTACAGGATAATGACACAGTTTTCCTTGGCTGTGAGAGCGAGCCGAGAAACGGTAACCATAGCAACTGCTCCTGTCCTGCTCAGCCGGCCCACTGTTGCCCGAGCCTGAGTGCGCTGCATTGTACTAGCTAGCAGAATCATTTGGGTCGCGCGTGTGTGTGTGTGTGTGTGTGTGTGTGTTGTGGGTGGGGAATAGGCAGATGCCACTATTCCCTTCCTACAGTTTCTCATCTGATCAGTGTCAGAGTAGTTTCTGGCTCAGTAAATGCTGCAGTAATCACATTAATAACTTGTACACAACTTCTCTTCATGCAGCAGTTCAGGGGGCTCGGCAGGTAATTACTGGTGCAATGCTACGACTAATTTTGACTGGTCTAGAGAGCGCAACATAAACCCCTCCGTACATCAGGAGGGGAAGTGAGGTTGGGCGATAGTCTGTGTTACTGGCTTCCTGCCTCCTTACAGCGTTTGATTTTAAGGGTGTTTAATATCTCCCATTGTCACTGAGAAAAAAGCAGAGACCTCCATTGTTTTCACTGTGTGGGTTGTAACTTTACATTTTAATTAACTCCCCAACCAGGAACTGCCTGCAACAACATTACTCTGCTTATTAACATGAAGGGAATAGAGAGGCGACAGAGACAGACAGGAAGCGAGCGCATTAGGAAGACAGATACGGGGGAGAACACAGAGGAATCAAAGGAAGAGAGAGCAGGGAAAAGAGACAGTGATTGAAAGGGGTGCGAGAGCAAGACTGCAGCAGCAGCGGACAGGAGAGAGAGGAAGAGGAGGGGGGGTCTCTCTGAATGAGCTCTTCCTCTTTTGGGTTTGAATTTAATTGCCATGTACATCAGCAGCGAGCTACAATGAAGTAGCCGGATACCAGACAATATATCATAAAGAAACCAACAGTGTCAAGATGCGCAAATGCTGGGAAGACAAGCGGCACTCCAAAGGGAGAGGAGTGGGGGAGATAAGTGGAGATGAAAGCGATGCACTTCGATTACTGTTTTGCAACTGAACTGAAATGAAAAACGTAAGTCTCTCTAGCTCAAGCCAGATTCATATAAAAATAAAAATCCCTAGTTTTCTCCTCTCGTTCTGGACTGAAGCCATCAGCTTTAAATAGTGTGCCGGGAGCATGAGCCACTCTCTCCCTCGCTCCTCTTCCCTCCCCCTTCTCACCAAAATCTCCATCGACAGCAGTTTTGTCACCCACATATCATATGCACAACAACTGCTAAGGCCCTGAACCTCAGTCACTGTTGACACAGATAATGAATCATACTGAAATATGCAACAGTGACACTGAATGCGGGGTTTGTTTTGAGTATCATCTCGAGTGTGATGCACTGCACTGTAACTCTCTGGAACATCATCATTCATTACGTGATAGCATGAGCTGCTTTCCCTTTCTTCTGGTCGGCCCTTTAACCGTCACACATGCTGGGTTTGAGCTCCATTCAGAAAGCCTCAGTCTTGTTTTTATCTTGGGTACAGTTTCATACATATTCCCCAAGACAGCACATGTGAAAAAGCAAGGAGAATAAGACAGAATCTGCCCCTGTTTTTATGTTGGATTAAGTTTCTTGATTCGTCCTTTTGTAGTTTAGCGGATAATTCCTCCCTTGAGTTGGTATCCTCGGAGCAGGCTGTCATGAGTGGAGCTCAAACGGCAGCGAGCCAGGCAGCATCCCAATCCCCCCGAGGACACGGCTTCAGAGATGGGCTCTTCTGAGCAGGGGGGTGGGGGAGGGGTTCAGTGTCCTTGACCATCCATCGGTGGCCTTCGGTCCTCCCTCCCGCCGCTCCCCTGCGAGAGCCCGCATGAGACACTCCTGAGCCAGAACTGATCCTGTACACACCATGCTGTAAATCGGGATAAATCCCTCTACATGCAGGTTCACAGCCGCCACCAAGGGTGTCTTTGACAGTACAGTACAAACTAAAAGCAAGGGGGGGGGGGGTTTTCCAGGGGAACTGCGCTGCTGTTTGGTAAAGACTTTAAATGGGATATCATGCAACGCTCATGACATTTGATGAGGGGGATGCCTCACCTTCAAAGAACACGCTGTGCTCCGTCGTGTTTTAAATGCTTAAACACTGAGAATGTGAAGCACATTTAAAGAAGGCGATCAAGACATTCCCCTCGCTTTACCTCACTTCAATCCACTGAAAGTGAAATGCTCTCCTCTGACGCTCGGCTTGTACGCTCTTGCCTGTAGCAGCCTGCCATATTGAGTTGCTGCTCAATTGAGTTGCCGACCCATCAGCTCATTCATCCCGTTCTCTCTCTATTCCTCTTTACAAGCTAAATGTTCATCATGGCCAGATATGATGTTCAGAACTCATCACCTTCGCCTCCCGCTGCGATCATCACACACTGCAGCTCCATGGAGCCTTCATTCACACGGACCTTCAAGCTCATTAGCTCCACCAATCGTTTGCATTAGTGCTAGTAATGAAAAGCCTCCATTAATAAGATGGCCTTCAGAGATCATTTACCCTCCTCCGCCTCCCAGTGCTGCCATAACCTCAGCTCACCCCTCCCTCCTTCCCGCCTTCTCTCCTCCTCCTCCTCCAGGTACCTGCCGGTTATCAACACCCAGCAGAATGCTTTTTGGGGCTGGACCCTTTAATAGCTCCTCTCAGCATCAGTATCTAACTGGAGAGTGAATGAGTGAGAGAGACGGGTCACCTGATAGCTTACTGAGTGCGCTCGGGGCTCTCGATTGCAGGCAGGCTCCGGCCTTCGGCTTGACTTAATCAACGTCTCTGCGGGGTATCTGGACACATAAGAGAGCCACCTCAGCACAGTGTGAGCCGTCCGCAGCGCTCTCCA